CTCCCCCCCCCCTTTTTTTTTACCCCTTAACAAAAAATTCTTGGTGTTCCTCATAAAAAAAATTGTTTGGTGTTCCTCAGTCTTAAAAGGTTTAAGAAACACTGTGGTAGAGAGAGCATCTAACACTTCTTTTGAAATGCTTACAGTAGGCTTATACAGTTGGTGCTGTTTCTTACAATCTGAGCTGCCATTCTTTGGCTTGAGGGAGGATTGATGCGTGGACTTTCAAGTCTCTTCTTTGAAGAGCAACTGACCCATTATCTCTTCCAGGAAAAATGCTAGTTTCAGTTTCCTTTGTGTGAAATCAATGCCTGTTTTTTTCTTAAGCAAATTTATTTAGCTTCCACTAACTCATCAAATATAGAGTAGAAATTAATATTTAAATTTATAGAACAGTGTTTCGTCTAAGCATGCACTTGTGTGACTTCTCAGAAGAGAGTCAAATGCCACCAAGCTGATTAGCAGAGCACCTGCAGCGAGGTGTTTCATTCCTACCAGTGAGCATATTTGCACATGTCTTGGTACACATGAAAAAATGTTTGAGGTGTAGTTGAGTTAGTCTGTAACTGGAAAAACTTAAAAAACATCAAATAGTCTAGCAGCACCTTAAAAACTAACAAAAGATGTAGATGGTATCATGAACTTCTGTGGGTACAACCCACTTCTTCAGATGATAAAAAAAAAATGTATTCCTCAGATGGATGGAAAAAATCCACACACAGATGGAAAAATGATAGATCCTGATCTTGAAAATAATTTGACTACTCGTGGGAGTAAAGTTCTCTATGAAGACTCAAGGCTTTAATCCTCTTGTTTTATTGCAAAATATTGTTTTGTAGCCATCATCCCAATTGATCCACAAAAACTAACTAAAATATTTTGCTTGTTGAGATACCTATAATATTTAGTGAAAGGCACAAAGGATTATGAAGCTGTTTAGATAATCATTAAGAATAAGATTACCCTGAGGTGCTGAAAGATAAGTGCTAGTATTGATCACTTAAAAGTGCTATTTCTTTTCCTCCAGTCTGTTGAAATGTTTTGCTGCATTTTACAGGGCTCGCTGTGTGTTGCCAGCTGCAATTGCTGCTCCTCCATGTTTGTATGTAGCAAATCCTCCCCCTTCTTATAGTCATAAGATGAAAGTCTTCAAGCACAATCTTAAGCAGAAGGTAACTCCATATTTACATGAACTGCAACAGATTACGACTCCATGCTTATTACAGTTCCCTGACCTCCGACTGGTGCAGTATGATTCAGGTAAAGGAGAATCTGTATTACACAAATCTGCTTCCTATATCAGCAGTTGAATGCTGTTTATAAAGTCTTTATAATCTCTTCTTCTTTAAACATAGGAAAATTGGAAGCTCTTGCGGTTTTGCTTCAGAAGTTGAAAGCTGAGGGACGCCGTGTGCTCATTTTGTCTCAGATGATTCTAATGTTAGATATACTGGAGCTGTTCTTGAATTTCCATTTTCTCACATTTGTGAGAATTGATGAATATGCTAACCATGAACAACGTCAGGTAAGGTTACTTTATCTGTTTGCCACAGTGATAGCTAAATTTTAGGTTTGAGTACTGATACATGAAACAGGAAACCTGCTCTGTCATTTCTCTATATTTTGTTCACTTTTCATTACATTAGAGTGAGTGTGAATTTACTGTTGGGTTTATAATTCTGCTTATCAATTTTTGCCCCCCATCTAGGAACTGATGAAAAGTTTCAACAGAGACAAGCGCATTTTCTGTGCCATTCTTTCCTCTCACAGTCGTTCCACAGGTGTCAATCTTGTGGAAGCAGACACTGTTGTGTTCTATGATAATGATTTAAACCCAGTGATGGATGCAAAGGCTCAGGAATGGTGTGACAGAATTGGGAGATGCAAAGACATCCACATATACAGGTGACTGTTACACCGAGCAGCTTTTTCTATAGCATGCTTTTATTTAAATTAACACTTGGAAAAAAAAAACATTGTTTCTATGTGATTTAAAAGTCACATGAAAAAAACTTAATTTTTAAGCTAATTAAGGAAGTCAACCAAAATACTAATTTACCATTATATTTGGTGTATTGTAACTATGTTGGTTGTAGGATATAAGAGAGACAAGATAGGTGAAATAATATAATTTATTAGACCAACTTCTGCTGGTTGGAAGGTGGAAGCTTTTGAGCTTCACAGAGCTCTTTTTTTAGGTCTGAGAGAGACATATCCAGAGTGACTGACTTCAATGCACATTGGAACATGAGGTTCACATGTGCTGTAAAAGACCACTTAAAATGAAGTGCTAGCACTTCTGCGAAGCTGAAAAACTGACCCTTCCACCAGAAGAGGCTAGTTCAATATTAAAAGTCTTAGAGGGATAGCCATATTAGTCTTGTAATTTTAAAAACAACTTTTAAGAAAAACAAGTAGTGCTGAGACACCTTTTGTTAGTCTCTAAGGTGCCACAGGACTTCTTGCTTGTTGTTTTTTAAGTTGGTCCAATATTACTTCCAATAACTTTCTCTCTCTCTCTCTCTCTCTCAAAGAAAATTTTTCCAGCGGGATGACGGAAGTGACATCATGTGTCACTCTGCGTCCTGCTGCCCCTCCTTTCAGCCTATCTTGCTGCAACCCCATTAACTCAGAGGGTAAACACCAAGACAAACAGCTTATAGGTCTGTAGTTGCAAAAAAAAAAAAAAAACACCACTGTGACTATGAGTAGGTAAACCCGGAGGGTAAATTCTGCTCTGCTCTGCTCTCTTTCTTTGGCTTTCCAGGCCACCTCCAAGGCTGCTGCAGCTGCTTCCCCTAAAAAAAAAAAAAAAAAAGACTCCCACTACATGGGCATAGCTCACTGCAACGGGCACGGGCATGCCTGCCTCCAGGCGCAGTGCTGCCAGTGCCACATGAGGCAAGAGGGACAGGCCAGTGCTCCCTTGATGGCTGCAGAGCTCTAGCCCACCTCCCCCATGCTCTTTGCCAGTGCTGAGACCCTGTAAAAAATTGGCCATGCAGCTGGAATTTACATGGGTTCCCCCAGGGTCCTAGTGAGTGCTGGGTATTCAGAGCCAGCCCAGCTGTGAGCTATGATCTAAGGATGTTAAATTGCGGTTAATTGACTAGTCAAGTAGTCGATGAAATTTCCATCAACTAGTCAATAGGCACTTCCACATTCTTCCTTTGAAATGTAGAAGAGCCCCATGCAGGGGCAGCATTTGTATATTTCAAAGGAGGAATGTGGAACTCTGCAAGCTGCCCAGGGCCAGAGGGAAGTCCCGCTGACTCCAGGCTGCACACAGGCGTGCCTGCTTTGAAATGTACAAATGCTGCACGAGTCCGAGATCAGCTGAGGAGCTCCTCAGCCTCTCCGTGAAGGCTACATGCACCTGACAAAGTGGGTCTTTGCCCACGAAAGCTTATGCTCCAATAAATCTGTTAGTCTATAAGGTGCCACAGGACTTCTGGTTTATGCAGATTCAGACTAACATGGCTACCCCTCTGATATCTATTTAGGAATATGCATTAAAGATGTGATGGGTAACCAGTTAACTGGTGATGTTTATTGTTTAATGCTGTGTTTCTCAAACTGTGGGTCCCGACCCCCTGAGGTCACGAGCAACTTGGAGGGAGGTTGCTGCAATTTAGGGGGGGGTTGCGAGCAACTTAGAGGGGGGTCCGGTATCACAAAGTTTGAGAACCCCTGGGTTAATGGTTAAGCAGTACCGAGGAGCCGAAGGGCTGCACCAGCCCCACCGGCAGCTGGGGCTGGAGCAGCCCCTCCCCCACGCCATAATCAGTTAACTAGTCAAACACTATGTTTAACTGGTTAACCAATTAAATGGGCTTTTACATCCCTCTCTTCTGCTAGACAAATCCTTACAAATTCAGTTCTATTGTTCAAGATAGTGGTTAAAATTCTTCTTTGCTTTCTATCAACCATTGTGGTTTAACAAGTTGTCTGCCATTTTTTTCTAGGCTTGTAAGTGGTAATTCTGTAGAAGAGAAGCTTCTGAAAAATGGCACTAAGGATTTGATCCGAGAAGTAGCTGCTCAAGGAAATGACTATTCCATGGCCTTTTTAACACAGGTACTTTTTATGTTAAGATTTTTTTCCAAAAAGATTTCTCGTAATTGACGCGATATGTGGATCTTAAAGCCAGAGGTTTAGATTGGTATTTGATAATGGAATTAAACAATACGTCTAATATATGTCTAGTTAATACACTGTTCTTAAAAGTTTTTTTTCTATCACCTAGTGGCCAATAATATACTGCTGTGTGCCAGATCTGGGTTTGATTTCAGCCTGACCTTTCACCCATTGATTTAGTTTGGTGGCACTTAAAAGTATACAAATGGCAATATATAGCTTTGAAAATGGTACTATAAAGCACCAACATGGAAGATGTGAACTCTTGAGTACTCCCTTACAGATAGAAAGTACACTTGTCCTTCTCTGCCCTCCTCTGCAGGAGCTCTTTGAGGTTCATTCTCCTATGGATGATTCTGGTTTTAGAGTGAAAGCAGAAGAGTTTGTGGTACTTTCTCAGGAGCCCTCTCCAGCAGAAACAATCTCCCCCAAGGTTGCAAGACCTTTTATAGAGGTAATATCATAACAAGTTTGTGTTATGGGCATCAGAAGATGAGGGGAAAAAGGTATAACAATATAAGTTAGCTCTTTGAGGTTCATTCTCCTATGGATGATTCTGGTTTTAGAGTGAAAGCAGAAGAGTTTGTGGTACTTTCTCAGGAGCCCTCTCCAGCAGAAACAATCTCCCCCAAGGTTGCAAGACCTTTTATAGAGGTAATATCATAACAAGTTTGTGTTATGGGCATCAGAAGATGAGGGGAAAAAGGTATAACAATATAAGTTGAGTCTGAAATGTGTGCTTTTTTGAATTTTGAATTCCATTATTCAGCTTTTTTATACAGTTTTCTTCTGTTCAAGCAGAATTTATAAAACTTATATAGCTGAGTGTTCCATTCAAGCTATTTGGTCTTTCCACTGAATACATATGTAAATATTTATTGACTAAACATGCATCATGTGTGCAGTCTATTTTTTTAACATTCAGAATACCAACAGTGGGATTTCTCTCCCTGACTTGTGTACATGATTTGCAGTAACACTATGGGAGGTGAACACATGCATGGAGAACAGAAATATCTAACTATTCTTTTAATAGCCTTTCTGTTTCATTTTTAAAATGTCAGTGAAGTGTGTGGTATGGGGAGGGTAAATTTAATAGCTAAGTAGACAGGATGAATATTTGTATGTTTCATTCAAAATAATTGTTTAGGGTGGGGCTTGGCACCCTATTATGAAACCATATTTCCTATGTTAATTTGTGGTTTTATTTACAATCTTCAGAGCTGATTGAAGTCCATGAGAATCTTTCCATTGACTTAAGTGGGTTTTGCGTCAATCCTTTAAAGCATATTTTTGTAAAGGTATTTTTTTAAAACTTGCATTTTTTTAAAGGCTCTCAACAGCATAGAACAAGAAGATGAAGAGCCAAATAAACATGTACAAGATATAGGAGCAGAATCAAGCTTAGAACCATTAATTTCAGAACTGTGTGAGCCAAAGTACAATGATGAGCCCTCGCAGTTGCAGGAGTTAGTTGCTGTTGTGGATCAGGTACCATGATGTTCCATAAACATTTTCTTAAAACAGTTGGGAATGTTTAGTTCAACTTTTCACTCTGACCTTAAAGCAACTTTGCTTTCTAAGAGTCTGATATTGTTCCTGTTGAAATCAGTGGCAAAACTCCATCTGACTTCCACGGGCATGATTACACATTAAACAAAAGAGCCTTATTTTAAGTGAGAAGTTTTGTAATCTCTGTTTGCAATAAAGACAATGAGTAGTCCTGTGGCATCTTAGAGACTATAAGAAATAGATAGTGTTTTTGTTAGTCTCTAAGGTGCCCCACGACTGCTAGTTGCTTTTAAAGTTATAGACTAACAGGGCTACCCCCTCTGAGTCTGTTTGCATTGTACCTTTGTTATCCCCAACAATAATTGTGTTCTCCTTATTAGCTTACTCCAATTGAGAAGTATGCTTTGAATTATCTGGAGCTCTTCCATGTTTCCACTGATGAGAGTAAACCAAGAATAAGTGAGGTAAGATATTAATGAATACGCATTCTGTATTGTACATCTGCAGAACATACCAGCAAAATACATATTCTTATGTACATCTATATGAAGTGAAAACTACTCCAAAGATACTTGATTTATCTTAGGCACTTTTATGAGCCTTGACACCGTAGTATCCGAACACCACACAAACATTCTTGAATTTTTCCTCCCAAGACCTCTTAGAAGCTAGGTGCAAGTATTCTCATTTTACAAGGGACATTCATATGCCTATGGTCCTGTAAACACTCGTGCATGTGCATCACTTGAAACATAAGAACAGTCCTGTTGACCTCTTTGGGGATTACTTCTTTGAGTTATGTTGAGCACATGTATAAATTGCAGTACTGGGGCCCAGTTATCTTGCTTAAGGTCTCATAGGATGTCTGACAGAGCCAGGTAATGAGCCCCAGATCTGAGCTTATTTATTTGCAAATTAACCCAAATGCTATTTTAAACGTAATTGGAAAGCAGAACGCCCCTTTATTAAATTTTCATTAAAGATTTTAAAAAATGCAGGTTATATTATTTAAAGAGTGCTTTATCTGAAAATTAAAATAATCAAAAGAATTTGCCCATTTCCCCAAATTCAAGTTGACAATGTCCCGGTAAAGATTTTTGTCCGTGAGGTAGTATTGAATAGAGATTTGTTAAATGGAATGCATTGTTATTTAGGGGGAATTGAATGCTGCAAAAAAAGCATGGGAAACTTATCACCTGAACGAACTGAAAGAAAAGGAGGAAAAAATGCTTTGGGAAGAAGATGATGAACTACTTACCTACACTCGGGAGGATGCATACAACAAGGTAATTATTTAGCAATTCTGGTGTCACTTAAAAGCTGTTCATTCTTGGTGTTGGGCAGTCAGTTCACGGAATCCTTCAAATTGTTGTGTCTCTTTGTTTTATAGGAGTATGTATATGAAGGTCCAGATGGACAAACAGAAATAATGCCAGTAAGTCATATAGGTTTTAATCTATTTGAAGAAAAGGAATCTGCAGCTAATTAACAAATTGTGGTGACTTGTATATTGTGTTTTGTGCAGCTTTGGACTCCCCCTACCCCTCCTCAGGATGATAATGACATCTACATTGATTCTGTTATGTGTTTGATGTATGATACCACCCCAATTCCAGAGTCTAAGTTGCCCCCAGTATACGTCAGGAAGGAGCGTAAGCGTCACAAAACAGATCCATCTGGTAAATATTTGGTTTAGAAAAGTTCTGAGAAGTTATTAGGAAAAGACAAAATAAATTTTCACTTGGAAGACACTAACACCTTACCCCACATAATAACTCTCCAAAAATATCAGAATATCTGATCAAGCAGTTTTTTATGGGCAGGTTTGAAGAATCTGAAAGTTTTTTGTCTATTTAATGATCAATGTCAAAACAAGATAGTCATAAACTTTAACATACTTGTAATAGTGTTTGGTTTTTGTTATTTTGTTGGGTTTTTTTTGTTTTTTGGGGGGGTTTTTTGTTTGGTTTGTTTTTTCCGACTCAGACCTTGGGGCTTATTGTTTAAGATGTCATTTTATTTTGTCTTCATTTGTACTGAAAATACAATGTCTCCTTTCAAAACTTATTTTTCTAATGCAGTAATTAGGTTAAAGTTAATTTGTAATAGGTGTTAAAAATTTTACGTTATTTTTAATGTGAAGAATTCAAAAATCACTGGCCATGTTATATTTGGTTAAACCAGTGACACTCAGACTGAGGCTTGCAACCCCCAACTAGTTATTTGTGTCTCTTGTGGGTCTTTTCATCACATAAAACACTCCTGATTAAATTATTAAATGGCGAGGATGCTTTTATTGTGTTGCAAACAAATTAAGTTCTCAATTAGCGGTAAATTACTAATTTATTTCCTATGTTGAAATTATAATCTAATATTATAACAAATGAGACAATGAAGTCACAGGACTGTCTCTCTTTTGAGTAACATTGGTCCAGAATCCAAAACAGTGATCTCTGAGGTCTGACTATCCTGGAGTTTAACAATACCTTTCAATAGATATTTAATTGGTTTAACCCACAGCCAGTGGTTTTATCTACAGCTAGATAATTACTATTGATTTGTCTGTCATGCTTGCCTTAACAAAATGCCCTCTTTTACTGTGTTACTGAAGATGGCATCACTTTTCTAGTTGCAGGTAGAAAAAAGAAGCAGCGCCATGGAGAGACTGTTATCCCTCCTCGATCACTTTTTGACAGAGCCACTCCAGGGATGCTGAAAATGCGACGAGAAGGCAAAGAACAGAAGAAGAACATATTGTTGAAACAGCAAACACAATTTGCAAAGCCTTTGCCAACTCTTGTCAAACCGGTTGCTGAGGCTGGACAGGATAATCCTGAATGGCTGATTAGTGAAGACTGGGCACTACTTCAAGTAAAATTAACCCTTTGCTTTCCAATTTCATTATTTTGCTGTAATGTTGTTGTTAACTTTGGACATGACTATTTTCTGACTTCATCCCTGGAAATGTTATTTCTAGTTTCTAGGGGCTAAACTCACACTTGGCCTTCTGTTCCGATTGTGGGACAACATGTAGCTATACTGCTTCAGGAACAGATCAGGGATCAAAACTGTGACTGTTTTCCTTTTGCTCCACAAAGGGAGTAAGCGGTATCAGCCCTCTTCCTGGCACATCTTCCCATACACGTCAAATCAGTTGTGCTGGCTGAGGTGTTGAAGAATGCAGCCAGAGTGTGTGGGAGAGAAGCCTCAGGCAGCTTCTTTTTCTCTCCCACATTGTAGCAAATATTGTGGGAAGCTTGTGCAGGGGAATTAGATCATCTTTTATTCGATTGTTCCTCTGTGCATGCGGCTTCTCCAAAAGGATCTTTTGGGGCTAACTTCAGAATAAGGTTTCTTTATGACTAAATAAATGGCTTGGGCGACATACAAAAAAAATTTAGTTTAGAAGTTTATAGTGATTTTATGTCACCTTCAATTTTGCACCTTCTGATTTTCCAGGCAGTGAAGCAATTACTGGAACTTCCTTTAAACCTTGCTGTCATGTCACCGGCGCACACACCCAATTGGGATCTTGTTAGTGATGTTGTTAACTCATGTAGCCGAGTCTATCGCTCACCTAAACAATGCCGAAACCGATATGAAAATGTCATTATTCCAAGAGAAGAAGGAAAAGTGAGTTTAAGTTGAATGGTTCATCCTTTTGAACTTCAGTTTGTAGCATTCTTTTTTGGAACTCCGAAACATGTTTTTATTAAACAGCTCATCAGCACACCCGAATAACTTTTAAAAGTATGTAGGAGTATATTTATTAGGATTTTCACTTATTTTGTGATTGACTTTGAAAAGACAAAGCATCTGAACAAAATCTGCTACAAAAAATCTAATTTTCCTTCTTATTTTACAGTTAATGTATGAAGCTAATTCTAAAAAGAAGACAAAAAGCATTTATAAGGTGAGTATTGAGGCTATGTCTAGACTGCAGGCTTCTTTCGAAAGAGCCTCTTTCGAAAGAAAGCGTCTAGACTGCACGGAGAAATTTCGAAAAAGCGACTTGCTTTTTCGAAAGAAAGCATCCAGTGAGTCTGGATGCTCTCTTTCGAAGAAGCCCTATTTACATTGAAGAACGCCTTCTTTCGAAAGAGGAACTTTCAAAAGAAGGCGTTCTTCCTCGTAAATTGAGGTTTACCGCCATCGAAAGAAAAGCCGCGTTCTTTCGAATTAATTTTGAAAGAACGCGGCTTGAGTCTGGACGCAGGGGAAGTTTTTTCGAAAAAAGGCTACTTTTTTCGAAAAAACCCCTGAGTCTGGACACAGCCTAGGATACTAAGTATCGGTAGAGGTGGACAGATAATTCCTAGAACATCTATACTGAGTATTTATTGAATACTGAAACAGCAGTTAAAATTCTGATTTTTTTTTTCTTGTTGGTATAGTAGCTTGACACCAGATTTCCACACAATATAATTACATACAGTTTTGTTGTTTCAGTTTAATCACTAGTGAGTATTTGTCTACTTCATAAAAGCACCACCTTATTTATCATGATTATTATCATAGTACTTAACACTTGTAATAGTACAATTCATATTACAATCTAAATGATTTAGAATTAATTAATTAATTTGAAAACACCCATTTATGATATAGCATTATGCACATTATATAAAAGCAGAAACTGATTCACTTAGCTAAGTGACTTTCCCCAAATCATTCAGCAAGATATATAGAACTGGGAGTAGACCCAGTTCTGACTTCATCCCATTTTCAAAGTAGTAGTCAGGCCACTAGTTTCTCTCAGGAGAAGCTAGATCCTGGAACTAAAAAAGTGTTGTAGCGTAGCATGGCTTTATTAGGAAATCTATGCTGTGGTAATTTTATGGTACTTGTGTATGCTATTACAAATTGCTAATGGATTATTTTATATACTGAATTATGTTCTCAGAATCTAAACTTAAAAAAGGAGTATCTTTCAAATTAGAATTTTTCATTCTGTGTACTGAAGAAGTGGAGGTTCTGGAAGTGTAACCTTGGGAACTGTTCTTTATTCTGCCTTTTCATTATGTAATTTCCATAGAGTTGTGTGACAATGAAGATGATAAACAAGACTAGGCAGAGACCAGTCTGTAATAGATTATGTTGGGCGATATGTGTTTAAATCATTTGTATTAACTAGGTATTTGTGCGTAGACAGAAGTGTTATTTAAGGTTTTTTTTCCCCTAAATGCATAGGCTTTTTATTTTTCATTTCTAGACCAAAAATAGTCGTCCACTTCGTACCAATCAGATCTACGCCCAAGATGAGGGTGCAACCCACACGCAGCTTTATACTAATCATTTTGAGATGATGAAAATGATTGCAGGAAAGAGAAGTCCCCCAATCAAACCCCTGTAAGTTAAATACGATATTTTCTATTTCTCTGTATACTAATGGTGCTGCCAGACTTTTAAACATAGTTATATTCTTGAACATTGTCCTAGCCAAGGACTTTATTACTTTCTCATATTAGTTGTCCAAACTGTTGTAGATGCTCACATGCTTTTCTGTTTAGTTTGTTTGTCTCCCTGTTGTCCTGTGGCTGTGAGAATGGGACAGATTACTTATGTGGATAAATTTTTGGTCCTTTTTTGTGGGGAAGAAGTGACAGTGGGGTAGAGAATACGATTTAAGGAAAGTCTTCCTCATACAGCACTTCCTTTCTGTCTGTTACCAAAAAACAAACAACAACAAAAAAACCAACCCTGAAATCATAGTAATATATGATGCTTATTTGTATAGTGCCTACCAACTCCATTAACATTTTTTGTAAAAGTCTCTCTGCATTAATACATCCATTCATGTGCAACTGCTAGTGCTGTTGGGAATTCCTGAGAAATATCAGAAATGCAAAGCGTTCTCTTACAAAATATGTAAAATTAATTATTTCGTCTGAGCTTTTTCCTCTTCAGTAATGTAGTTTTGGTTAATTTCAGACTTGGCATGAATCCTTTCCAGAAGAATCCAAAGCATGCTTCTGTGCTTGCAGAAAGGTGGGTCATTGTATCTTAAAGGGCCTTAAGATTGGGATTCTCTTTTTTTAAAATGCTTGCTTCTAAATTATTTTACTGCTTTTATTTCTAGTGGAATCAACTATGATAAGCCACTTCCTCCAATTCAGGTTGCATCCCTCCGAGCTGAGCGTATTGCAAAAGAGAAAAAGGTATATCTTTCTTCTTAATTAAATGAACTTCAGTAAGAGTAATAAAATGTGATGCCCTCTGCTTTCATAGGAGCCATATGGTTGCCTCTTCCATCCTTTGCCTGCACTTACCAACATTGTGTTCTGGTTTGCTATGAGTGCATAGTTGTAATATGAGCAGGCTTTAACCCACATTACTTTATTTTATTTTATGTTTTAGATCAGTCTTTTCCTGTGTGATATCCTTCCACAGGAGTAGCCCACTAATTTCTATATTCTAAATAATACCAAAATAAAATTCCACTAGAAAATGAATAACTAATGTAATGGGACTTCTAATGAAGTTTGTTACAATAGAAGTCTGTACATGCAATGTTTCAGTCTTGTTTTTAGTTGTTTGACCATGAAAATCCGGAAGCAGGAAGTTTCCCATTGACCTACCTTAATGTAATAGTATTCAAAAGACTCTTGAGACATGCTCAAAAAATAACCTACTTCCTCCAATTTATTATTGTTCATTACATAGACCCCATTCATATTTTGTCTGGTAAGAGCTACCCTGCTTCATCAGCTTATATCAGGGGATACGATATAGAGCATCTCTGGACTGTTGATGGCTTTCTTACATGTGCTGTTCTGAGGAATTACCAAACCTGTTTCTTTGATGTTTGCCCAGGCTTTGGCTGAACAGCAGAGAGCACAGCAGCAGTCGGGCCCACAGCCTCAGCAACAACAGCAAGCTGGGCAACAGCAAACACAGCAGTCAGCTATACAGCAAGCACAAGCTCAGCCTCAACCACAGACTCAAGCACAGGTAGTTCAGCAGCCACAGGCAGTGGTACAGACTGCAGTAACCACTGTGGCCAACACGGCAGTATTGGTAAGAAAGGGAAAGCTTGCTGTTCTTGAAGCAGCGACTTCAGTTCTTGTCTGTGCACCATTTGTGCCTATGTTCTTTGAGTTGAAAGTGAGATACACAGCAGTATATTTTTAATTTCCTGGATAGGCTGTGTGTCTTGGTTTTCAGCCACTCATTATATTACTTGGAAAATTCATGTTGGAGTGAGGCAGTGGTATTCTCTGTGAAAAAGGCAATACAACCAACTTTTCCTCTGATACATCTGATACATGGTACATGGGGGAAAAAAAAGCATCCTGATAATTTGGGGATCAAATTTATCTGTAGTTTAAAAAAAAAACAAAAAAACTCTATCTGTGGAGATGTTTTATCTGGAGGAATATGGCACAGTGCGGTTCAAGAGATGCATTTTCTTTGTGGAACTCTTGTTCTTCGAGTGATTGCTCATGTCCATTCCATGTAGGTGTGTGCGCGCAGCGTGCACGCGTCGTTGGAGATTTTTCCCTCAGCAGTACCTGTTGGGCCAGCAGGGAGCCTCCTACAGTGACGCCGGTATACTGACTGATATATACCAATGCTGGCCCCCCCACTCTCTCAGTTCCTTCTTACCGCTGTGATGGTTGTTGGAACATGCCCTAGCTCTTGCTTAAGCAAATGCTTCTAGTACTTGAGTAGTTCTTTTGTTCCTGTTATCTGTTAAGAGTTGTAAATTGAGTTAGGGTAGTTATCTGTGTTTGTTTGCCACTGCAACACGCCATGCACCTGTGGAGAGGCATGTCCAGACCACAAGGATTCAAACCTTGCAAGAAGTGCCACTGGCCCATGCCCTGCAGCGATCCACATTCATCCTCCCTGAAGTGCCTGGGAGAGGGTGCCTGCAAGATGTCATGCACGAAGCGGGAGAGAGATCGTGCCTCAAGATCATCCTCATGGAGGCAGCCCTAACACCAGCACTGGCGTCCAACCTGGTACCGACATCTCAGAGTGCACTGGCATTGGTGCAGGAGACTTCGGCACGCTCTCGCACCTCCCCGACACTGCAAAGGCCTTGGCACTGGTCGCAGTCCCCGGTGCCGCAAAAGAAGAAGAGGCCTAACAGAGGTAGATTGCCTCCGCAGGCGTGCACTCTGTGCTCCCTTCAGTGGGGCTTGTGGCACCATCAAGCGCCAAGCCCGGACCATAATGGTTGGGCAAACATTTATCCCTGCACCAGGAGCCCAACCCACTTGGGGACTTCCCAGAACCCTTCACTCCGGAGGCCTTCAGGGCAGCCAGGGACCTGATTGAGTTGTCTCCTTTGTTCCCCCAACACCAACCCCCGTCAGGGACCATGGGAACAGCTGGCACCAACCAACATCGAGGGCGTCTGACGATGTAGTCGGGGAGGCCAGAAAATACTACTCCGGCACTGATGACTGCTCCAACCCTGGCACCGGATGTGGTTTGGGATGCGGCACCAGGCCCGGCACCAACACAATGCCACCATGTGGTGCCATCCATGGCACCCAGCTCCATGGCTCCTACCTCCAGCCAGAGGTTACCAGCCCTGGGCACGGCCAAGCTATCCCCGTACCCCCACTACTGCGGCAAACCTGAGTCAATGGCCAGACACACTCTGGAGTCAGCAGCGATCCCAACATGGTTGGTTTCGGAGTACTCGACCGACTCAGAGGCAGAGTCAACTTGGTCGTCGAGGGGCTCCAGAGCCTGCTCCTGGCACCAGTCCCACTCGCGGCACCAATCGCGGCACTGCAGCTCCTCTGCTCACCACCACCAATAGCACTGGGCACAGCCAGTTCCAATGCAACAAACCTGGCCCCCGCAACCTCCGAGTCAGTGGCTATTCTGGACCCCCTGGACACCAGAGCCAGGGTGCAAGTCCTTTGAGGGCAGGGTCAGTCATCTCGGGGTCTTGCCCCTCACCCAGTAGCGACTCCCCTGGCTCAATCTCTGATGCCAGTGCAGAAGCTACCTCCCGGTTAGGCATCCCTGAGATCATCGGTAAGCAGGGCTCCACCAAGCCAGCCACCACCACCATCTGTATCTGGGACTTTGCAAGCCCCCTTGCAAATGGTGGCTTCCGTGGAGGTGGCCCAAAAGAGCTCATCGTCATCCTCCCCAGACGAGGCCTTAGGGGATACCCTTCCATCCATGCCCTCTGTGGACGCTAGGGCCCACCAAGACGTCCTTCACCAACTGGCACAGAGCATGGGGGCCCAAGCTGAGAAGGTGTGCAAGGATTCCGACCCCACAGTGGATATCCTCCAGCCTGACACCCTCACCAGAGTGGCTCTACTGATTAATAAAATGGTGACCAAGATCTCCAAGGCCCTCTGGCAAACCCCGGTCTCCATACCACCAACAGACGAGGGCCGAGTGGCGTTATTTTGTGCTTCTGGAGGGCAACAAGTACCTGTTCTCTCACCCACCCCTGGGATTGCTGGTGATGCAGGCTGTGAACCAAAGGGAGAGAGAGGAGCAACCAGCTGCCCCCTACACAACTGGGGGCATCCAGCTCCGTATTGCTAACCAACAGGTACTGTTGTCAAGGTACGCGTACAGCACCTGGGCCTCCATGGACAAGTTCACAGACTTGCTCGCAAGAGACTAATGACCTGACTTCAAGACCCTCCATGAGAAGGAAAGGGTGATCTACAAGGCAGCACTCCAAGCAGCCCTTGATTGGGCCAATGCTGCTGTCCACGCCATGGCCACAGGAATAGTTCTACACCGCAGCTTCTGGTTGCATGGGTCCCAGGTGCCCCCCGAACTCCAAAACACCATTCAGGACCTTCTTTTCGAAGGATTCTCGCTGTTCTCAGAACAGACGGACCAGTGCCTCCATGGCCTGAAGGACACCCATGCAGTGCTTAAATTCCTGGGCATGCACATGCCAACCAACCAGAAGCGTTCGTTCTTGGGCAGGAACACTGTCAGACTGCCCCAACAGGCCCCGCGATGATACATGCATGCATGCCATAAATGGCATGCAGTCAATTTTCTGTGGTGCACGGGGTGGGAGCTCAGTCCTCCCTCCCCCACACGCAGCAGCCAAGCAGCAGCTTGAGCCTCAGGATTGTTGTGCAGCTCTGGTTTCCTGCTGTGGGGGGATGGTGGGAGAGGCGCACGTACAGCATAGCATAGGGGCCAGGGCTGCCCAGCAAGACCCTATGCTCAGCTCCACATCCCTGGGACTGTCCCTACTTGGCCTGGGTGAGCAGCTGGCAGGAGCAGGGAGGGTTGGGTTAATGTCACTCCTTGCTTTACAGGCTCAGCCTCCTGCTCCAGGAGAGGGTAGGGAGGGAGCTGCTCCGCAAATCAGGGCTGGGTGGCCAGTCACATGCAAGTCCTCCTTGCATCTTATCTTTCTGTGGGTATGTCTACACAGCAGTTATTTTGAAATAACAGTCCTTATTTTGAAATAACTTTCCTAGCATCTACGCAGCCAAACCGCTATTTTGAAATAAATTCGAAATACTGGAGCGCTTACTTCGAATTTGGTAAATCTCATTCCACAAGGAATAACGCCAAATTCTAAATATCTATTTTGAAATAAGTGCTGTGTAGACACTTATTTCGAAATAGGGGGCTTCCAGCCTTCCCAGGGTGCCCTGGTGGCCCCTTCAGCCTCAACCAAGAACACTTCTCTCCCTCCCACCCCACCAGAGACTTCAAAGGGGTAGACTCTGGCCACAGTGCCT